TTTGTGATATGATGTAATATTGAAGCCCTAGAAAAAGTCGCGCTTCAAATTGATCAAGAAGTGCCTCAAAAAAAGTAAAAATCTTTGATTGACCGGTTTTACCATACTCGCTTTCCCAATTGATTGTAATGTAATGAAAACCGTTAGGAAAACGCAAAAATTTGGTTTCGATTTCCATTCATAAATATCTTGATAATCAGACAGGCGATCGGCTTGTAAAAGTCATGGGTTCCTACTGGCCTAAAGATTTATAATTATGATTGCAGCATGAGTTAAATCCAGGATTTTGTTTCAGAATCTGAGATAAAGTTACTGGATCCCTTTAAGGACACCACGTTGGATGTACTGTTTAGGTCGGATAGAGAGATATATTTTCAACCAAGCCTAGAAAAAGTACATTTTTAATTATTCTTGTTGTTGCATTGATATAATCACAAGGCCCTAACGGAGAACAATTATTGGTATTATAACCATAATTATTTTCACTATCAGTTATATTGATTATGATGATGAACATGATGATGGCTTTTATTGTTGTTATTATTATGATTAGTATTATTATTACTACTACCAGTTTGGTATTTATTATTATTAGTACTACTAATATTATTATGATTACTCTTATTGTATATAATTATATAACTCCTGTCATTATTATCATTATCATTTATAATAAATACTCTTTTATTGCATTTCACATCGTACTCTTTCCCTTGTACTGCACATTTTAAAGTTATTTATCATTATCATTTTGTGTATGATCGAAAGCGTTAAGATATGTTGTGGCATGTTTTGTTTGATCTTTCTATTAAAAGAAGAAAAAAAGGGTTCTAGTGAAAACCTATTCGAATTGCAAAGAAATTTTCCTTTCATGATTTTGTCTGTTCTGCTGCATTGTGAGAAATGCTAAAATTATGTAGAGGAAAGAATTCCATTGAAGTAACGAATGTTTATAAAAAGTAGACGGTAAGAGCTTTTTTTTATATGGCATATCCCATGGGATAATTAAGTGCCCAACATAAATGCAGCTTTTATTGTTATTGTTATATTACTTTATCCTAAATGTGTAAAGGAGGATTTCTGACGTCAATTTCGATCTACTATTTTTTGTTTAAATTGTAACGCACAAGAGGTTCGTGATAAAAACACCCTTTTATGATATGCGTTCACTAGTAACAAACATACAGTAGTCGATAGTCGAACACCAACCAGTATACAATGGAAAAGCTTTGTGGTTCGTTCCAAATGATATTTGTAAATAATGGTTTGGTCAAGCTGTAATTAAACGACTTATGAATACACCTGGAATTCCCGCAATATGCTTATACCTGGCAGGTTTTAACTCCTTGAAATGCTCGAGCTCCTTTATGACAGCCATGCTAATGCCGGGGTTATATTTGTAAAGCGACAGAAGTGACAAGTTTGACGGACATGAGCAATATACAAAAACCCTTTTATGTTACTTTCAATATGGATTCCGGTTTTTTGAATGAGATGCTTGGCGTGTTTGCGCTCCTCTTCTGAGGTATTTTTAAATGGCATTGAATTGGTACCCTTTTTTAATTATACACATCGCTGGATTTTTGGCAGGTATTAACACGCGTCATGGGCAGTCAGGGGTGACATGCGTTGAATTATATCTAGTAAAGGTCAAAAAGGAAGTGAGTCTCACATAACAATTCGAGACGCGATATAGTTTACCATTTTGGTGCGTCTTTTATTTCAAACTTAAGATCATAAGATCTTTCAATAATAAAAATAAGAATTATTGATTACCGACTTTATTATTATATAATACCTATATACCTAAAACATATGATATTTAAGCACTGTTTTTCAATAAGTTCCTCACATTCTACTTAATCTGTCATATTATTTGAGTATCATTCAGATGTGCTCATACAACATGTATATATATATATAATTTCTATTTCATATGTTTATCTATATTTTTGGTAAAATGTTGAACGTACAAAACTTGAAAATAATGATATTGATAATGATAAAATTAGGGGAAAATGATAAGAGTAATAGGCTTGATACTAATAATACAAATTGACAATGATAATATCAATACAAATAATAGTGAGCTGTCGTGAAGCACTCGTGTCTCTCAGACATGACACTCTTTATGCTTCAGTGCTATCAAACCGTTCTTAGCGAATGTGATGTTTGAAGTAAAATAAATTTAAAGTATTGGATATGACCGTGAATATATAAATGCATTGCGAAAAGAAATGACAAAATACATTGGGGGACGCTCTTATCATTGTTGAAGAAAAATAAATATTTGATGAGAATAAAGGAATGGACAAGACGTAAAAGATTAGCCAAAGGTAAGTGGGTACGCTTTTCAAAGGTCGCTAACATTTATTGTTAGGTTTATCCTTGAATGTCAAATGAAACATCAATGGGGCTAATCGGATTAAATACCTTTTCAACCGTACTAGCAAAAATTTCCTTACTCTTGTTTTGAATCGACTGATTTTAATGCGATCGCATATTCATAACTAATTCTTTGAAGTACCAAGTATTTAGTTGCATCATATATTGTTCGCCTTGACAGCTATCGAGAAATTAGTACTGAGTCAGTGATACAAGGGAAAGGTCCTGGCACCCGAGACTGCGACGGAAGGAGGGGTTGACCTGTACAACTACAACTATACTCCCACACTTCAAAAATAGAAAGATTTTTTTGCACATTAATCAGTTATTCAACCTTAATAATCGAGTGCCTCTAAATGACATGATTAATGAATTATATAATTTCTCTTAATAATAAAATAAATATTCTCATAGTAGTGAAAATTAATTTTTTAAATGGTATTTCAATATATGAAAACAAGCTTAAACTCATGAATATGTATGTTAAGTGCGTGCGAGTGTGTGTAGGTATGGGTATGCGAGTGTGCGTATGCGCGCGGTGTGTGTTCGAGGGGTCTGGTTTTGACCAGCCCTCTTAACCCCATTCTCTATACTCCCTCTCCTCTACACGGGGGATTATAAACTCAACCCTCTTATTATTTATTTAGACGTTTAAAAGATACCTTGATTGAAGACTGGAAGCGGAATTGTGTCCCTATCAATTGCGTCTACTTTAATAATGCAGATGAAAGTAACATGGATTAATTTTACGCTATTACAGAAAAAAAGTTAAATAAAGGATGACACATTTTAGTTTCTTTGTAATGCTTTCGGCCATAGTTCCTTTATAGAATGAGTCTTGTAGTACTGACAGTGCTACAAATAGATCACACGCAGGGATAATTACAAAAGAACAGATATGACCCGGGGCAATGGATTTACCAACACAGGGAGTCAGCGATAAACGTATAGAGAGCAACAAAATAATTCAAACGAAATAATATGTTGAAATATTAAACCCTTGAGAAAAAAAAAATAGCAAAGTTTAAAGAAAAATGGATGATTTGAACAAAAGAGCACGAGTTGTCAAGTAACGTGGAGCTTATTGAAGAGTGGGGACGAAATATTGCATTTAATACTATCTTTAGAGCTCTAAAATTTGTAAGATGTAGTTTAAAAGTCAGGTTGTATAAAAAGAATAGAGGAATGAAATAGAAAAGGAAGGTGAAGGTAGAGCGAATGGCTGAGTGAGCTCTTTGAAATAATCCACTCAAGGGGAATGTCTTTTTCAAATCAACAGCATTCACACGTAAGCAGAGTGTCTTCCTTTGTAATACGTACATGTATATACAAGTGGATGGACAAGCGATTGTCATTTGGTTATCAAGTGTTTCATCAATGACAGCGCCTAACAAATGCTTCTGCTGACCAGAACGACGACAGCTGCTTCTTCATGCAAGAGATAAATACTTTATACTTATTTATTTGGAGCTGTTACGCGCCTTATTGTGGGTGAGACTTATATAATCAATTTCTCTTAACTTCTTCTTTGTTCTTCTTTTGTTCTTATCATTATTAATTTTATTATTATCATTAGTAGAAAAACTTTCATTAGGCCTATTATTATTTGTTGTTGATGAAATTATTGTCATTATTTCCATAGCGTTCATTGTATGGATTCCCTGTGACTGGCACTAGCTATTAATAGCGAAAAGAAATTGTTCCCCTACGAAAATATTGTTTATATAACATTTAAAGGAATTTTCAAGATATTTGTTCCAACAATATATTTTCTTTGCAAAAACAAATACGCTTTTTTTAATTCAAGCAACAAGTTTAGATACAACGTCAATAAGCAATTTTATTTCGTTCCATTCGTTATTGTTAAGTTTGGTGTATAATTAATTAACAATTAAATCCTCTAATCCATGCCTGTACTTAACAACATAAACCATGGTAAATCAATGATATTTAACAGATTGACAAACAGGCTATTGACTATGTGAAATCGGTGGAGGTTTCCCCCATTAAAATGAATATTTATAGGATTTTCTTTTTTGTTGCATAATTATTCATAACGCTTTGCAATGGATACTATGGTCCCCCAACAGAACACCAAGAGGTTATGCTTTACTGATGACGTCACCCTGTCATTCGTGGCTTCAGTAGACTCTGATGTCACCAAGACTTCAACTCAGCCTAAAAGCACATCTTTCTGTCGCTACCACAATCGGAGCCATCCTTCATCCGAGTTGTTAATACAAGAGCTGCATCGTAATGTATTCCTAATCAAACTGCGGATAATTGATACCTTGAATTTAGAAAACTAATTAACATTGCAATATCATAAATAGCTTTCTTCACTTACCGTATACTGTTATTCAGGACAAGTACTCTATTGCATTCTGAATAACTTGAGGTTGACAAGAATATACGAATTCGCTGGTAAATCGATTGTGTTATAGTTATAGTATTACAACCTTCAGCTTCTTCGTTCTAGGATACAATTAAACTGGCATGATTAGATATTTAACACACATAAAAAATAACTTTATTAATTGTGTTGAGTTTTTGGGTACGGTGTTTTGGGTCAGGCTTGGAATTGTCATCGTTTTCCTCCTGCTTGGAGATACAAGCAGAGAAAAAGTGTTTATATGTCAAGAAATACAATATTTTAGAGAGAACGGAGAGTAAGGCATCCTTGCAATGGCATTCATCTCCAGAAGCTCGACACTAATGGAAAACGCGAGTGTAAGTTCATATTATGACTCATCTGATTACACTTACGTGTATCCCTTCTCTTCGACGTGGCTTGCCATAGTCCCATTAGTTGTTTCCTGCATAAGTGTTGTAACTATCATCGGAAACTTCATGGTGATTGTGGCCTACATTCGAGATCAACAAATCCGAGCGAATGTGGCAAATATCTTCATTCTCAACCTTGCTATCACGGACTTCATCGTTGGGGCTCTCGTCACGACCGTCAATCTTTCTTGGCTCATCAAGGACACTTGGGTGCTTGGTGAGATGTTCTGTAAACTGTGGCTAGTGTTGGACTACACAGTGGTCTTGGTATCTGTTTGGACGATGGTCATGATCAGCTGGGATCGCTACTGCCTCTTGACAATGGGTCTGAAGTATCAGAATTTTCAGACCAAGAAACGAATCGGACTGATCCTTATCTGCACATGGGTGTCTACTTTCATTTGGTACTCAACACTTGCATTCGCATGGGCCCCAATAACTGGACAAAGCAAGATAGATTATATTGACGACTGTGAGATGGAACTTTCCGCCAGTTTCACCGGGGCAACGCTGCACAACGTGACCGTGTTCTTTATACCGTTTTCAGTTCTTTTGATTCTGAATCTAGCCGTGTATGCTAACATTAAACGAAGGTCGAGGGGCGTCGTAGGACAAAGTCCTCCCACCAACAATTCAAATCAACCAACACAATCTACCGGGATAAGTCAGGGACTCACTGACGCATCAGGGTCTCCTGGAAACTTGCCCCTTGCGGATATGCCAGCTGCATTCCAGGGACATCCTACTGCAGCCGGTCCATCAACCGCTAGCTCTAGTGCAGCTGCGCAACATTTGCAGAGTCATGTCCCAGGCGAGGGACATCCTACTGCAGCCGGTCCGTCAACCGCTAGCTCCAGAACAGCTGCACCACATTTGCAGAGTCAAAAGCCAGGAAACGTGCCAGTCAGTGGCACATTGGTAGTTGAGTTGAAGACAGAAGAACGGACATTTGCCAAACACCGCAAAGCAGCCATTGTTCTTAGCATCCTCGTAGGGTGTTTCTTGCTCTGCGGGTTACCATACCAAGTGTCCACCGTCATGTATGCAGTTTGTGGAACCAACTGCGTTTCGGATCTCACGTGGGAGATCACAAACTCGCTGCTTTGGAGTAACTCGACGATTAATCCGTTTATTTATGCTGCCACTAATAAGCACTTTCGTCGTAACTTTCGGCACTATTTGCTTCTCGACCGATGGGTATGTGATATCAAGAGCTGTAAAGTTAAGTGTAATCGTTAAATTTGTATTTCACTGTCACAATATGATATTGGTAGTAACTGAATAGGGCTTTAGTAATGCCACTATCATGAAATAAGGATATTGTAAATATTGTGGATATAGTGAGACTATAAAGGGAACATTTTGTTGGGAAAAAAGAGGTCTGCTATCGTTAACAACAGTGATTTTTGCATTTTTTTTTCAGACTTGCAACTTTAAAGAACTAACACTTACAGTCGGGGATAATCCCACACAAAGCTAAACAAGGACCGTAAAATTGATAATGCGTGATCTTATGGGAAAAAATAATCCATCAAGATGTTCATTGTTTCCCTCCTAACACGGGCATCATTTAAGGTCACCAAAGGGCCACTAATTCATTGATCACCGGTTGTTTATTGATTTGGGAATATACCCGTGTGAGTCAAACAAAAGTTTACACTAAGAAAATTGTCATTTATTTTAAAACTCAGCTATGAACGTAAGGTTACCATACATGTTTTAAAAGAGTGGTTTATACCGAATCGTTTGGTATATTTTGTTATGTGATATGTTTTCACGCTTGGATAAACAGGAGGCGTAGTTTGCGAGAGTCTAAAATTCGACTTCTCATAAAACGAGAGCACAAACAACATACACATGATACCAATTGATTTGGGGTAAAACAGCTTTTCATAAGATGTATAATAGTTTACTGTCCATGGATGATTTTTAAAATAATTATAAAGTTCTAGATGTAAAATTTTGTTTGACTCGAACGTTATAAAGGCTTATATAAAGTCTATAGTTAATATGTATTTGGTTTCTCTAGTGTAGGAAGTGCGTTTTGAAGATCCTCCCAGTAAGGCCACCTGTCTACTGTGGACACCATTCATGTTTTCCTTAGGTGGCTTTAATATTATATACCAAACTGCCTTTATTCAAACAGTGCTTGTTTTCAGTCAATGTAATTTAAGTTTACTAATTGTTTTTTTAAAGTTCAAGTTTTATTTGTTCAACATTTTAAACGGAAATATAGACAGACGAATAAATAGAAATTATATGTATATACATTTAGTATGAGCTCAATGATACTCTATTCATATGATAGATTAAGCAGAATATGAGGAACCCATTGAAAAGCATGCAGTGCTTGTATATTATAGGTTCCTGATAAAAGTAGACATTGTAGATGAAACATCGTAGCACTAGAGAAAGACGTAAATAAGAGGTGATTTTAAAACACAATGGAATAAGTAAATTTGTATACACATGAATTAGCACCAATATCCAGAGCCACCCGGTTAAAATTCGTAGTCACCCGAGCAAATTGGTTTAATAGCGAAGCACCGTTGAACCAAACATCACGCGTATCTATACAGTAATTAAATCAAGAATATAATTACATGAAAGGTTAAACTGTATAAGATTACTTGGAGAAAACAACGAAGATAAATGTCACAAGGTTTCTCGAGTAAAATGATAATTTGAAGAGTCCAGAATTAGAATCTCAATTTTAAAGGTTTATTTTTGTTATAATGGTTTATTTATTCAAAAATCACATTGCAGCCCAAAGGCTGAATTGCACGATCTTTTTACAAATCCTTGACATAAAAACAAATTATAATAAAAATTGTAAAAGCATTACACAAAATAATAGCTACATACAGAATTAGTAACATAATATATTCAAGAAATATTCTTTTACATTTAAAACCGAAATAGCTCGGATTGACAGATGGTATAAAGGCGCATAGATTAATAAATGATCAGATTGAGAGAGGGAGAGAGAGAATCAAGAAGGAAGAGAGAAAGGGGTGGGAGTCAGAGAGGAAGAACTAGTGTTGGAAGAAAAATCGTTACAATAGAGACAAATACAGAGTGACTGATACCAACATGTTAGCATTTCTACTGGAAATAAAGTGAGTTAATAGTGGTATGTCATTTTGGACATTGCATTTTAAGGAAATAATTCTAAGATCGGCAATCAGAATGTTATGTTTTGAAATCTGTGAATATATTTAGATTATAGACAGAATGTATAATTGTTTATAGAATATTTAAAAGTGATACATTCGATATCAATCGAGACCTCCAGCTTCGCATATGTTTGTTGGCTGAGAAGTTTGGGAGCTCATACCGAAAATATCGATATAATTGTAGAAAATGTTGTGGATTGTGCATTTGTGTACAATGTGTGTAGTATATAATCATATATTTTAATATTCTGCGAGTATGCTCTCTTTGTCTTTTTTGCAATTTATTGCATATCGTACTTCGTTGTGAATTTAAAGAGGAAATAAATTACATTTGTGTCAGTCGATGTCCTTGCTCCCATTGCAATTGTGTCTTTGCCGTTCAGTGTATTGTTTTGTTCATTTCATCAATGCTTACCAGAACGCATTGCATTTTGTAATTGGTTATGAATATAAAGAAGAAATGAATTATATTTTCTTTCAGTCGATCCCGTTCCAATGATTTTGATTGTGTTTTTGTTGACCTGTGTATTTGTTTTGTTTCATTTATCAATAATTACTAGAATAAATTGCGTTTTGTAATTGGTTGTGAATATAAAGAAGAAATGAATTATATTTTCTTTTAGTCGATCTCATTGCAATGATTTTAATTGTTTTTCTGTCGTTCAGTGTATTTTTTCTGTTTCATTCATCAATAATTTCCTGGACGCATTGAATTTTGTAATTGGTTATGAATATAAAGATGAAATGAACTAGATTTTCTTTCAGTCGACCTCATTACAACGATTGTAATTGTTTCTTTGTATGTCAGTTCATTCTTTTGTTGCATGTTTGACTCATCTATAATAACTAGGACGCAACTGTAGTATCGCCATAGTCCAAGAGACACGCATCACCAGCCTATCAACAATACATGATGTGGGCGCGTGTGTGCGTGTGTATGTGTTCTGAAGTTTTTGAATACAAACTTACACGATAAATGTATTCATGTATTTAATATACCCTCTCCATCAAAACGAATCCAGCCCTCACTGTTGGTTGATCATGTTTATAATAATTATACATGTTTATCTCCCCTCTCATCATATCTATACTCTCTATGTCGCCCTTAACGGTTCATTTCCATTCCTGAATAAAATAACACATGAATAGATAAAACAAATTACAATAGAATAATATAAACAATCAAACAAATACAGAATCGTCGTTAAAGTCTTAATTGTTCTGAAATGCTATATTCCTGTCGTTTATTTTATTATATATATATATATATATGGAACAAATTCTTGAATTTGGATATTCCTCCGTCACGGCAATATACAAATAAGGATTAAAACTATTGAAAAAAACTTCCTTGAGAGTTCACTTATTTACTATGACCGTTTTTAATTTTATTTCTTCACATAGTGAATACAAAATTAAAATTTACAAACAAATGACAACAAAATATATACAATCAATTAGTTCGAGCGCATTGCGCTAAAATGGTGTGTTGCTTGGCAACAGAGTTGTCATATTATATTGTTATATTGTTGCATCAAAGATAGCGAATTCAAAATTCACAATCTGAAGAAATTAAATTAAAACCGGTCATAATTAAGAATTGAATCCTTTAAAAATTGAGTTTGGAGATAAATTATGCTTACACCGGTTACTTATACAGTGTATTACTATAACCTTACGACGTTTCCAAGGTAATACGCAAAATAGTGTATAAGTAATCGGACGTACTGCCTCTAAAATGCGTTACTGTATTAAGCAGAAAAAAAAAGAAGTAGCAAGGTGCAGCGTGAAAACACGCCACAGAGATGTCAAAATTAAACAAAGAAAGTAAAATGAAAAAACAAAGAAAGAAATTGAGCAATTCTTGATTTAGTGATACGCATCCACCTCGATAGACGTGCTTCTCATTGAAAGCAAATCTACAGGATTTTGATTTTTTGATAATTCATTATGGAAGGAAAAATAGTATCTAAAAAAAACTTTTTGTACGGAGGATCATCAATTGTGGTGTGTCTTTTACAGCATTTACTCGAACTCCAAGCAGAACTCAATACTTTGTTCTATATATTATATAACACTATATTACACATATATATATATATATATATATATATATATATATATATATATATATAAACATTATATTGGTATGTGCGTGCGTGTGTATGTGTGTGCACGAGTGGGCGTGTGTGTGCGTGCGTGAGGGTGAGGTCGGGTGAGTGCGGGTGTGTGTGTATGTGTGTGTGTTTATACAAAGCTGGAACGGCCCTGTTTGTGACATGAATAAATGATAGTAAAGATTTGAGTGGGAGTGAATTAGAACATGAAGAGGAATTGTTAAGGATTAATTGAAAATGAATACAAAAGTTGGTTATTATTAACTTTTCTTTCCAATCAAAATAAGAGATACAAATTATTGACAATTCCCTTAGAGATATGTTTTCCCAAATGAAAATACAATATAAACTTTGAAATGCAAACAAAATATGAAAACAACATTTTATACATATAGGATTTATTGAAATCAAAGCAAATCACATCAAAAACCAAGAACGAACAGGGTGAAGACTAAATAAAATGGCTGTAATTAATGCATAAAAAGGTTACATAATTTAAAATATTAAATGATATTAAATGATTCTCATCACTAAATATTGCAAAAAGGACATATAAACAATAACAACATTAGGTTTACATCATTACAAATACATAAATAGAGGACTCTCGAGCTGTGAAAATGAAATTTTAGTAGTGGGTAAAATACCTTTGTTCTGAGAGAAAACAAGATATGTCATTAAAAGAAAAAGAAAAACGAGGGGGGGGGGGGAAGAAAGATAGTTAAAGCCCCTAATTTGAGGAATGAAAGGTGGTGGAGCAGCTCTACCACATGTTGAGCTAAATAGCTTTTAAAGACTAGAAAGTTTCTTTGTCAATGACGTACAAAGAAACATTTCACTGTCTCCGTACGTCATTACTTTATTGTTTTATCGACTGCGATGAAAAAATATGTTTTTGAAATGTCTAGGTTGTTGGGAAAGTAATTGCTTTTAAGCCTTTTTAAAGAGAGGAATAGAGAATGGCTCGGTAACTTGTAATTCTTAACAAAAAAACAATTATTGTAATGGGGAGAACGTCCTCTTCATATCTCTTCTACGACTTCCTGATGATCTTATTTTTTTCTTTACTATATTGTTAAATATATATACTGTTTGGGTTTAAGGAGCTCGCGGCACATCTCTCGTCGTTTAAGTGGCTCAGGTAATACAATAGCCGATCGAATTGTAAAAGAGGAAATTATAAATGTTTCATACATGCATATCTTTTTCTTCTTCTTCTTCTTGTGCTTTGTATTTTTTTTTTTTTTTTGACAACGTTGCCTTAGCATGGTACTAGATAATGAGGGGCACCCTGGGGCACTAGTGTCACTTATTAGGGAAAATGCTCGTGAAGAAGGAACTTGTTTGTGGGGGGTAATGTTGGCGGGTATAGTTCTATCTCCTTTCCACGTACTCCTCATTTTCCTACTTCTAACTCCCTCTCTCTATATCCTTCTCTCTTTCTT